GCTGTCCTGGCTGTGCCCCCTCCCAGCTTCTTGTGCACCTGGCTGAGCTGAGAGCTGAGAAGTCCTTGGCCAGTCTAAGCACTACCTAGCAACAACTAAAACATAAGCATGTTACCAATATTCTTCTAGTACTAAATCCAAAACACAGCACTACACCAGCTACTAGGAAGAAAATTAACTCTATCCCAGACGAAACCAGGACAATATACAAATATTGCATCCCTGTTTTCTTCACGATGTCCTAGTTACAAGAATAGAGAAGAAACTTTTCTTGATTGATGTTCGTTGTAAGAGAAACAAAACCACCCAAAGCAAACAACCCCTTCCACACTCCAAAAGGTTCTGAAATGCCTTGATGCCTTTAACAACATCAACTACCATTTATTTTTTAATCTATATATTTTGCCGCCTTCTCTCACCTGCACCAGCCCAAGATGTTACATGCTTCTTTTTCACATGTTGTCTTTCACAGCCCTCAGCAGTCTGCGTCTCTCTACGTCTTTGTTTTAGCTCTTGATTACCTCAATTTTTGTAGTTGCTTATGTTAATTTTTTTAATATCTTTAAATGCAGTACAACAGTGTCAATACTTAAGTTTGTTTTAATGTCACTGCTAAAGTTGCAAGTATGTTCCCATTAGGGTAAAATGTATACTATACTAACATGAAAAATCAAATAACAGGTCTATCAACTTTGGGTTATCTGGCGTAGTAGATTTCAAGGATATGAATTTACTTTAGGAAACATCAGATTTATCACTTCAGATTAATGTTTCTGAACAGCCAAATAGCACTGTATGCACCTTGGCTATACCTGATATTCTCTATTCCTCATATCAAGAAACACTTTCTGTGTCAAATATGATGATGTCTTCTTAATCAGAAGTTTCTGTGTAAGCCTAGAGATATGCTATTTTAAGAATCCCTTCTCCCAGCCTGGGACAAATTGTTTTGTATTTTCAGATTCAACAATTGAAAGGAACTATTTCATTTTGGTGTAAGAAGTTTTATTAATACATGATATTTCAAATGTTTAAGTGGCTTACAGGTAGCAATAGTGAAAACCAAACAGTAAACTTGAACTGAATGTTGAAGTCTGCAGGAGGGAAAAGAAAAACATGTCGCTAAAGCATGTGTGTATTTTTTAAAAAAATTATTTCTGTTACAACACATTTGTTTCTTATGATAACTCTTTTGGTATCTGTCACATCTTCCATCAGTGAGTAAGAATTTGTTGTTTAAACATCTGCTTACTTGTAAACATCTGTATTTCCTTGAGATTAAGCGTTTCAAGGTCCCCACTTAATTCTTCCCTAAAGTAAGGGCTGCATTTAATTTCAAACAATCCATTGTTGTCTGTGTTCCAGTATATCTTGCAAAATGTCACCATCTGGAGAAGCTAGATTACAAAACAAACAAAAAACCAGTCTAAGTTTACAGCCTGTTTAACTAGAGCCTCTGTGGCTGTAGCAGGTCAGTAGTGAGACCTGTGAGCTTTCAAAATTAACTACATGTTACACTAAGAATACTTGCAAGTTTCCTGAAAAATTAAAGGGAACTTCTGTACGCCTAAAGATTCTTCTGAATCCTTCTAGTCTTGAAACTCTGAATGGATGGAAGTACATTAAAGACGGTTCAAGCTTTGGTTCATTTGGATGTCATAATCATTGTTTCTGCAAGAACAGGGCTTTCGTTGCTCCAGTAGATGATTTACCTATTTTCTGACAGTAGTTTCCTGTAAGACTGATCAGTACTTTCCCTTCTTTTAGTCTGCTGGAGTTGAACTGAAGGGAAGGTCACCGTGTTGTATAAGAACTTGAATCTACTGGGCAGATTGGGATGATCTAAGGCCATACAGACTTTCTGTTTGTTTATTTTATATTCAGTATGGGGAATGAATTAAGTTATTTGGTAAAGAATTCCAGGCAGAGGTAGCTTTTAGATACATTATTTCTGTTTTTTGGAGAGGTATATTGTTGATTTGAATGTGTTTTTCTGTTTTGCGTAACCTTACCTGTGTTTACAGAGTAGAAGGTAAATATTTGGAAATTATAATTTATTAATGGATTGTCTCTCTTCTTCCTAATTTTATCTCCAAAATGGCAGTCTCCCAGGATATTTGAGTGAGGCACAGAGCATACTTTTATCTGTTCTCAACCCCAGTCTGAAATTTCATAGGAGGGCAATTTTGATGGGGGAGTATATAATGAATTTTTTTAATGCATTCAACATTTTACCTCTTAACTGTACTTCCCATTGCCAGGGTTACTAATTTTATTTTTATTTTTTATTTTTAAGGATATGCTATTATGTCCTGGGCTCACATCTTCACCACGTTACATGGTGGTTAGTAAATAGTCATAATAGTATTTTGAATCAGGAAATTGGATTAGTTTGAATTAGCACCTGATGTGAGGGAGAGAAGTAACTGCTGTCAGTGTAAAGCAGACTAACCTCTGTTCCCTGGGGGCTTCCTCCAGGGCCTGTTTAAATCTGTGAAATGACTTCTGTTGGTGTCACTGAATTTACATACATAATTCATATGTATATTACATATAATAATTCATATACATATGAATTAAATGCTTTTCAAATCTTTATTTGTTTAAGGAATGGAAATATCAAAAGTCCAACTTAAATGATTTTTCAAGAGGTACTTAGACAATGAAGCTATTTTTTCTTATTTGTGAACAGCCTTGAAACACTTGGAGATTTTTTTCAAGAGCCTGTCGTGTCATGGATTTAATTGGAATTCTTTGCTTCTCTGATCATCATCTTTGCCCCCTGGAGATGTCTCCCATTCATCCAGTTCACAAAGGGAATAATTCCCTATACAAACATAGGACTAGCCAGCTACAATTACCAATACATTCAGGAGACATTTAGGAATAATGATCTCATTTTTCTGACCCTCTTTCTTGAGTGCATGTAGCTAGCTAGCTAGCTGTGAGAGAGACTTTTTTTTGCTGTGTGCACTGCAGTGAATAGCACAACATTTTTTTTTGTTACATTATCAGCAGTGCCACTTATACATTGTATATTTTCAAATACCAATATTGTTCTTCCAAAAGCACATAATTTTTTGTCAACCTGTTAATTTTGCATAGATGCTTTCTTGTTACTACTATTTAGAAACACTTTCTGTATCATGAAGAACTTAATTCATAGGATGACACCAGTTTCTAAAATACATTTAACTAAGTGTGTTGTTACCTGTTTGTCCACAAGCTGTAAATGAATATATTGCTGACATGAATAATCAGGGAGTAATGTGTACGGGAAAGGTAATGGATTATTTCCAAAACTGCTCCTGTTGTGGCTTAGGACAGTAGAAGATATCTTGTGGAGTATACATACTCGGAGAATATGCTACCACTGTTGGTATCTGTAACATATGCTGGTGTATTACTATAATTAGTTATGACAGTGCTGTAGTGACCAAAATAACATGGCTTTTACATATATAGTATTGTTATTCTTGCATTACATAGATTTTACCAAAATAACTTACCAACCCCCAGTTTATTAACTTGACTTTGGTGGCTTTGACTGATTTCCTCGGTAGGATGTTCTCTCTCCTGTCTGTGATGGGAAGAAATTGTCCCAAGTTTTTGATTATTTTTGACCCTTTGAAGAACAAGTATGCCAAAAGCTATCTGCAGAGAGGCAGACTTAAAAGGCACTTGTTTATCTAAGCTTTTCTTAGAAACGTATGTTTACCTGTATTTAAATTCTTCATTGTTGAGTGTTATGCTGTTAACATGTCAATAAAGCAAATATTTTGTTTAGCGGAAAAAAAAAATTGCTTCTGGACATTATTTTATATACTTGAAGGCCCACATACACCCTTCTGGCAGTGCAAAAGGCTGGATGAATTTTGACTGTTTTCATATACATCTGAAGCCATATAACTGTTAAGGAATGATTTAATAGGACTAAGTATTTAGGAAAATTGTAAAATGTTCCAGAATTTTTTGTTTTGTTGAACTTTAAAACTGTTTTGTAAACCGTAGAGAGGTCTTAAAACTTAGGTGTTAAATATTTTTTTTTTCTAATTATATATTTGCAAATGGAATTAATGATTATACAGGGAATAACGTTTCATATTTCTCACTGTTTTCATGCAATGGTACATGCAGGACAAAACTCAAATCAGAAGAAATGATACTGTGATACTGAATTATGTGAAAGTGCTCTACATAATTCTGTCAGGTCAGCAGACTTGATTCATTTCACAAATGTAAACTTCTTCGGTAATGGAAAGGTAGAATTGTTGTATGTATGTTCTCTCAGCCTTCTACTCACACCTATCACTTCATCATCCTAAGTAGAGTTTTATAAAAATAATTTACGAAAGAGTAATGGGGATTTTTTTGTTTTAAACCAGTCAATAGCTATCTTAAAATCAGATTATATTCAGATTTTTAAATACTTTTCAGCAACTGTTACTGCAAGGATGGTTAAATAGACAATTAAAATTTAGTTTTTAGTGTTTCTATCAGTATGGATTTGTATATGTGAGTTTATTCAGCAAAATTGCTATAATAATGAAGTTGCAATAGACTTGGGCTTCATATGTGGCTGATAGTGTTTCTTTTCACAAATGAAATTCACAAGCACTTTTTGGGTGTTAGAAAAGTGATCTGTTTCCTCTTTGAAGAGTAAGGAGCTCCCACTTACCAACGTTGCGCATTCTTCCTGCGGCTGACACAGTTCAGCAGTGGAAATGAAGGTATCTCTTTAGGTTGCTACGTGAGTTGTCCTGGTGGCTTTTCCTGGATGTTTCCTTCCCAGGGACAGAGGGGAGGGCAGGTCTTCCCCCAAGGGGGAGTCCTGTGACTCGGTCCAAGGCTGGGTCCGTATGTCTCTGTCCTCCTGTAATGCCCTATACTGCTCCTGAACTAGGGCTTTCTTTTTCCTTTGCTCTTTTTTGACTGAAAAGGTTGGTGTCAGTATACCTAACGATTTTGCGAAATGAAATATTGTGTCCGATAGTAAGTATGCAATTCTCTGGGGTTAAAAGCTTAAAGGTTGTTCTCATATCTGGGTCTTCCTAGATTTGTGCAGAATTTTCATGGAAAAGATGACATTTCAACACCTTACTGCTAGGCTGGGGGAGCTGAGACAGTGCTCTGTGTGCCTGTCTATGCTACCTATGCACAGCACACTCATTTCTGTGCCCGGTGAACATGCCTGATCCGCTGCAGTGGTATAAACTCAGGGGGGTGCCTGAAGTCAGCGCCGTATAGCCGAGACTTGTGCTGCCCATCTGAAATTGTCTGTTGCTGTCACTCGGTTCAGACCGGCCCCTACCGTGACGAATACTTGTGAGTGCTGCTTCCCTGGAGCTCTGGCCTGAGCTGCTTGAGTCTCTGCCAGCAGTATTACGAGTGGGAGCCTGGGCAGCTGCAGCCATGTCGGATGGGTCAGCTTTTGGTTGAGGCTGTGAGCAAACCAGAGAGTGTCTGCTGAGCTTGAAGATAGACCTTAACATACAAATATCGAAGCTGTGTGCATTCTAAGAGTTTCATTTGAGACATACCAACGTCTAAAGCATTATCATTGAGTATGTAATCTTTATAGTTCTAGCGGACAATTGTGTTAAATTTATTAATCAGCTCTGGAAGCATTTGAGAAAATTTCACAAATAAACTCTGAACTTCTGGTAAGGCAAAAAATGTTATGAGCAAGGGAAGGATATCAATATATCCAGATGTGATGTCCCTGTTCTACAGATAAAAAGGAGATAAGAGAGAAGTCCCTGTTTTAAATCCAAGGAATTAATGATAAGTTCACATTGTTGTCTTAGCTGGGCGCCAGTTCTAACAAGATTTTCAGGGGATTTCAAAACAAATATAACAACTTAGAGAAAGTAGTCTGAGGTTCTCCTAATTTTAAGTGGAATAGTCAGTAAGTGAAGATCCTGCCAAAGGACAGCTGGGGGTGACATTCTGAAGGACCAGAAAGAGCCGAAGAGGTGATTCTTTCACAGCTGCTCAGAGTCTGCTGCTGGTGATGTCCTGGAGGGTTGCATGGTGCAGCTTTACTATTTGTTCGCAATTTAGGCAAAATTGTGGATGTTCTTATTAGTGTATTAAGGTCTGAATAATAATCTTGTGAAATCACCGTCTTCCCTGATTTGACTGGGAGGAAGAATGCCTCTGAAAATACCAAGGAAGGAAATAAAAAGCTTCATTACACCTCCTCACACTGCCTAGAAACCTGAGCTCCAGCCTGCTTTGTCCTGCTGGCCCTTCTGCCTAATGGGGCTTTTGAGGACCTGTGTAGTGGTGTAAGTTAGGACTGCAGACTTGAGTAATTAAAAAGCAGTTCAGACAAAGCCTGCTGCTGCCTGCTCTCTCTTCTTCCTTGCTGTAAAAACCTCAGACACGAGAAAAATGCATTGCTGCTGTGGGTCAGGAGCCAAGCAGAAGAGCATCAATAAAGCGTGCATTGTTCTTAACATTTTCTCAGGAAGTATTTTACTGCTGCCTTTATTAGTAGAAAGCAAATGGCAATTAAAACAATCTCTGCTGAGATTCTGCAATCATCCAAAATATGTTGACTGAAGAAGCTTCAAAAATGATAAAGAAATAATGTAGATCTTTCCTGTACTCTCTGTGAAGTGGAAGATAAGCCTGGGGAAATAGAGAACAGATGGTAATATTACCACAAATAAAAGCCATAAGAGAGAAGGGTGAATAAACTCTACAGTAGTTACAGGCCTTGAGTTTTTTCCCTCTAGGCCAAGTAAGGCGGAATTTTTAACATTAGAGTAAAATTTTCTTTGGATTTCCTATTTATAGGACAGGCAATTTGAAGAGGAGATTTTATACTACGGGAATGACTTGAAAACCTGGGAATTATTGTTTGTTTTCTGAATATTCTTTTTCTACTCGTTTTTTCATGAAAGGAGGCTATCATCCAGTGAAAATTGGTGATCTTTTCAATGGCCGGTATCATGTTATTAGAAAGTTAGGATGGGGACACTTCTCTACAGTCTGGCTATGCTGGGATATGCAGTAAGAAAACTATTTATTTCCATTCACTTTTTTCTTACTATGTTACTTTACTTTGTTTGCACTAACTTTTGTTTTACATGCATGATAAAGTTACGTAAATGTTTGCTAACTTTATATGCAGAAAGATGTATGCAGTTTTATTTTGCTCTTGGTTAAGGTTGTAGGTTATAAAAGCTCTCAGAAATAAGTTTAATTCTATTTTCTTTGACGAATTAGCTTTGCTTATTGAATTTGCATGTTGTCTTGAACATGCAAGAGTAAGCTTTAATTCTGTTGTATCTTTAATGAAAAAATACAATTATACCTTGATTGAATGATAAACCATGTAACCAAATACCTCTTCTAAAAACATTAGCATCGAGGAGAAAAAATATTCAGTAAATTGGACTGTTAACAGAGTATTGTTAAAAATTATTTTTTAGTGCAGTTTCAGCGTTTTCTTTCAAAATACATTAGGTTATGAAATATTCTATTTAAAGTTTACCAGCCTTCAAAGTATGTCTGTTTTAGCTCAGAGCATGTCTTGAAAATGTTTTTGTTCTTTTCAAGGGGGAAAAGATTTGTTGCAATGAAAGTTGTAAAAAGTGCCCAGCATTATACAGAGACGGCCTTGGATGAAATAAAGTTGCTCAAATGTGTAAGTATCACTCACACAAAACAGTGCTCAATACCAATAATTATAGTAATAATGAATTAAAAAAATGCAGTGGAATATTGTTTTTAAACTTTACATTTTTTTTTTCTAAATAGCTGGCTTATTCTCTGTTACTGTGATTTCTGAAGCTCCAAAAATGTTGTTTAACTTCATGTGGCAAGCTAACTGATTGCTATTTTGAAGTGAACTTTCTCCTACAGTGTCAGTGTTTACATTCTTGGTTTAGGTTCGTGAAAGTGACCCTAATGATCCCAACAAGGATATGGTTGTACAGCTAATTGATGACTTCAAAATTTCTGGAATGAACGGAATTCGTATCCTTTTGAAAACATGGCATCTTCATTAAAAATGATGTACTGAGATAAGTAAGCATTTTGTTCTGGCTTTTTTCTAGTTAGTCGTACTTTAAATTTGTAATGTAGAAACAGAAAAATATATGTAGATGCAAAGAGTAGCCCAGTGTATAATGCACTCACCAGAGTGAAAGTAGCTTAGCTTTTCTAAACACAATGCAAAATTAGAAAAATTCCCATGAATCCTGTCATGGTCTGCTAGAACTAGAGATAGTTTACTTAAAAGCTGGAGTTTTATTGAAAAGATTTGTAATAACTGAGGCTTACAGGAAATGTTTTCCTTGACTAGTAAAGAGAAAGAATGTGTCAGTGTCACAAAGAAGTTTGTTTCTGTTTTCTTGTGGGAAGTGTGAAGGCATGGAGATTCTTCTCTTGTTTATGTGATTGTCTTTTGGCCAGGCGTTAACTTCTTTTTTTGGCAAAGGTTTTAAAGCTTTACCTTTGAATGCTTCTTTAAAAAAAAATTAAAAAAAATGAGGGAGACAAAGTAAAATATGACTGAATATTGTTCTCAGGGAAAATTTTGGGTCTGTGAATATATTTGATTTTAGAGTTGAGCTGAAGTGAGTTATCCTTGCTAATTATATTAGATATTTTAGCAGCTTATTATATTACTGTGCTTTCATTTACTGTTACAGCTGGTATTTATGTGTATGCTTGCTGTGTCTGAGAGCCCTGATAACAGACCTCATTGTTTGTGGTGTTGTACTACCAGACAAACAGGCAGTTCCTGCTCCAGAGAGCTTAACATGAAGTCCATTTTGGTGCTGTGCCTTCAGTCTGCAGCAGATCAGGTTAAGATGCTCTTCACCAACTCATTCTCTAGGAGAGGAATCTAGGAGGTGACTGTCAGTAAATCTGAATGCCCACTAGAAGGCATCCTTCCAGGGAGAAGTGTGCAAGCAGTTTTCATCCCATCCATCTGTCTCTTGACATTAGTTATGAAGCCCTTGGGTTTGTGGTAAGTGAGAATGAGTGTGGGGACAAGTATTCTCAGTTACAGAATGGGGTCTTAACTGCTTTCCCTTTGTCCCATTTTGGTTTGTTTCCTAGTGGCTTCAGTCGTCGGCTAGCATGGTAGAAAGCTGCTTAAATGTAAGTGAAGTTGTAGTCTGCTTTTTTCCTAGGTTTTGTCATCAAATTAAGACAAATTAAATTAAACCATACAGGTGCCAGTAGTCATTTCAAACCTGAATATAAATGGTTTGTGATCAAGGAAATTGCTTAACACAGTGAGGCAAAGAACCCTGGTTAGGGTTCCTTGGTGCTGCTGTTGTGCTACAAAAAATAGGTTTTAGTTTATGAGCTGAGATGCTTACTAAGAAATACTTAATAACTATCTCTTATTTTATCTGCTTAACAGAGCAGTTTCCTAATAATGTTCTTAAATTATTGCTAAGATTCACATGTATGTATACATCTATATTAAAGGTGAGAGCCATTTCTAAGTGTGAAGAGTACATTTTGTTAGTGATAATATTTTGAAATTATATCCAAACTTTATCGTGTTGAAATATAGCACAAGTTGACAAAGCCAAAAGAGACCACGTGCTAGTGAAAAATAAGGATTCAGATAGCTTTGTGTTAGCAGATTAAAACTGGACAGCTGATGTTTCAGTTTTTCCTTCACGTTGATAACTCTGGCAGAGCAGAAGTTGTTTTATGTACAAGGCAAATGTTCCTGCCTTACTGAGAAGTACATTTTTCAGAAAGGTACAGTAGACAGGATGGGCTGATACTGGACTCTAAATTACAGCTGGAACTCTGTCCAAGTCCTAGCCACCAATGAAAATAAAATATCAAGTATCTTATGTGTTGAGATTTCTTGTGAACAGTTGGTGCATCCTGAGTTGCATTGCTTACTTGAGCAGCAGCTGGTTGCATTGATTATTTGATCAACTCCTTTTTATCTTCTAGGGAAAAAAAATCTTTGGTGCAAGTTCTTTTGGGAGGGAGCAGGTAACTGATTTGAATGTTTTGCTCTATTTGATTCCATTTTAAAAATGCCATATTAGTGCTACGTTAATGTTATTGAGTTGAACAGGTTGTGAGAAATAGTTTTTCCATGCTCTGCTGATTCCAGCTTCCTTTGGGCAAGTCACTAAATATCTGTTCCTTGACTGTAAATTAAAACAACATATGCTTCATAGAGGCTTGATTATTGGTTATGGAATAAATTTAAAAGTTAAAGCAAGACAGAAGAGAGGTGGGTGAATCCTTTGGATGGCTAATATCACAAAATGTCGTGGAGCTTCCAAACAGGGAAACTTGTCAAGAACTGTGTAGCATAGAGCTGGGAATGTGCAGAGCCGTTGGCCTGCACCATGTGTCTGAAAACAGTCGTCTTTCGCCTAGGAGCTGTAATAACTGTTTATATACAGAGGGATTTTAACAATGTGTGTTATGCTAAACTAAACTGATAGTTTTTCAACTACTTGTACGTTTTAAAAAGATTGCAATTACGATTTTTTCAGGAAATAACCGAATTCCCAAACTTGGGAACTTTGGTGTTTTCAGTAAGTGTAGATGATTATGTTTGTCTGTACTGGATATTTATTGGAGCCTTAATAAGTGTTTATTTGAGTGTAGCATTTTTTAAATAAAAGATTCAGATAATCACATAATGAAACAAGTGTTTGGAGAGACAAGTGAAAAAATAAAGAAGGAAATTCCCAACTTAATTGGGCATTATAATAATTGTAATAAATTTATCTCCAAAGAATATACAGCATGAATTAAATGCCATAGAGCCTAAAAGCTTCCAGTCCAGGAGTAACTGAGATACATCCAGAAGTTTTCTGTGTTGGTACCAGAGCCTTATTTCATTTAGCTTAACTAGTCTTTAACCCTCATCAGATTTCTAAATGCTCTTGTAATGTGTGTTTGTAGATAGACAGTTACAGGTAGGATTTTAGTCAAGAAAGAATAGTTTTCAGTACTTAAGCCTGTCAGTTGATTTATGTTATGTTTGCTCTCACTTTTGCTGCTCTGCTCAGTTTCCCCCTTTCAGACATTCCCCAAACTGCTTCGAAGAGCATTTCGTAAAAAGCATGTCTGCTGGGTGGGCTTCAGGTTTATTTTTGCTGGAGGTCTTTTTGGACATGATCATCTGTCAGGATGTTGGTGCTATAGGAAGATCCTGGGGCTTGCAAGGCTGGTTTCCTAATAGTTAATGCACAGCTTTTCCCAAATTCTTTGTTGAGGACAGTCTGGCCTACTGTTAATGTTTTTCAGGTCAGAATAGTAAATCAGACAACAGTCACATTTTTGCATACCTACTCCAAATGATGAACCTCCTGTATGTCTTCTCCCCGTCCCAGTTGCACTCTGCAGTACTGAGCATGCCTTGAGTTTGTCCAAGTCCTCCCAGCAAAACATTGCAATCTTCTTTTCAGGTAGACATCACTTCTCTTTCTTGTGGCCCTCTTTGTCTGCCTCTGCCATTCCTCCTTTGCCTCTCAGCTATTCA